TCCTATCACCACCACTGTAAAGACATCTGAACCACTTCACACCAAACCACTCTGAATCACTCCGATTTCATGTTAAACGCTCACTTATGCATAAATATTGAAACGTTTGGAGTGTTACTGTGTTTTCTCCTATCGAGACAGATGTCTGGCTGCTTTTATACAGAATTAGAAAACATATATGTTCTGCTTAGTCTTGCTGTTTAAACGTAAACTTTAAAAAACACGTTAAAAAAGTATAAAACCATATACCCTTACGCATAAATTTACATCTGCAGGTATTTACAGGTGAGATGCGCAATCTAAGTCCGGTCGCTAAGCAACAAGCTGTGGCCAGTGTCTTCACTACAGGCTCCGCCCCCTCCATCAGCCTTGACGAATAGGAAGCTGGGAGAAAGGAGGAGACAGTAATTTGATGTACATAATTTGACACCCCAAATTCTCTACAGGTAGAACCTGTAAATATGACTGTAGATGGTTCTATATAGAGCCTTTTTGAAAAGGGTTCTATGTAGCACCAAAAATGGTTGTTGTATTGACACAAGCTTGACATTGTAACAATAGAAGAATGATTTTTGGTGCTATATAGAAAAGTTCTATATAGAACCACCTACAGCACATTCTCCATCAATCTGAAGAACCGTTTCACCATGCAAAGAACCCTTTAATCATTGAAAGGGTTCTTTGAGTGCTTATGGCTCTATATAGAACCATTTTCTATACTAAAGAACCCTTGAAGAACCATCTTTTTTAAGAGTGTAGAGGATGTGTTAACTTTATTAATTTTATTTACACTTAGAAAATCAACAACCTGAACCAGAGTGTGTAAACTTTTGCATTGGCTCAAATTTTGTTTATATACAGTTTTACATTTTTTTTTTAACCCTTTGGTCCTTAGACTTTAATCTTAAAATATGGTAATAAAGATTAAATATACTGTAGCATGTTCAAAATGTTCTGCTTGTTAATTTTAGAGTTTTTAGAGTTTTAGAGTTAATTTTATTAGTTCTTCAACATTTATTTGCTGGGCTCTTCTATAAAGACTCTTATTGTGAAGGTGGAGCTAGCTCACTGGCTGTGTTCTGTTAGATTAGGACAGGGGTTTCAACCCAAATGTTAAGAACAGCCATTTTGTCCTTTTAACAAAAATCAATCCACCTCAGGAGCCACAACATTTTATGTCCATTTCACCGTCTTGGCTGTAAATGTGTCTCAGTCTGATGAACTAATATAGGATAAAAATATAATAGAAATGAAAACACAGACTTACTTTGCTCTGCTTTAAGCTTTAGCTCAGCTACAGCTGCTTTTCTCGCATCTCCAGCAGGAAACTTTTCAAAAGTAGAACAGTTTCTTGTAAAATGTCTCTCAATGTTCGACTTTTTACGAGGCTGAAGTCGCTTCTCATTCACCAGCTTCTTGTTCTAATTCTCCCTTTCCATCTTAAATGGTGACTGAGGTGCCAGAATGTAACTGCTGCACCATTTAAGGTGGAACGGGGAAATTAGAACAAGAAGCTGGTGAATGAGAAGCGACTTCAGCCTTGCGATGTTTTAGTGTTTTTCAGTTTCTCGTTGCAGATTAAACGTATCAGGAAACCAGCTGGAGTGATTATAAACACAAATAAGTCCATTCATCTCTAAATTACTGATGTTCGTCTTAAATCTCTCTCTTTGTTGTTTCGTTAACTACTAGCTAGGCGAGACTGTTGTCTGTGTTGCTATGGTGACCAGCAGTCTGCGCTGATCTTCAGGGTTAAAGGGTGAATCAGCAGTTCTACATTAACTCCAGAGTTTAAGACCATTTATTGTTAAACTGTGTTGAATGATCAGCAGAGCTTTATTTTACTGTAAAGGAGGATTATTTTATTTTTACCTACTAATCTGATTCAGCTGTGGAGCCACAGGGCAGTAAAAGAGCCCTGGATTAGGAGGTACTGTTCCTGACAGCAGAGGAATTAAGACGTAACAAGGCTCACAGCAAATTTTTTGACAAAACTGTCTTTGTGTATGGCGTGGCTGTGGCCGACTACAGCCCTTAAAAGCACTATGACTTGGGCATCAGCTGAGCCTTCTTTAATAGCAGAAATGCTACAATACATTAAAAAAATGAGTAATAAAGATCTATTATTAGGATTTAAAGTGTTAAAATATTTTTAACAGGTACATGTTAAACATTCCTGAAAACTGGGGATGATGCAGTGTGTGTGTGTGTGTGTGTGTGTGTGTGTGTGTGTGTGTGTGTGTATAAAGGCTGTAGTTACCTTCCTATCACACAGTAAGCCCGTGTATCCCGTCCTGCAGGCACACACGTTGGGCCTGATGCACCGACTCCCAAACACACACTTCTGCTCACAGATCGCTGCAAAACATCCCATAATAAGAAAAATCACAATCATAACACTTTACTACACATCACCGCAGAGATCAGGCATAAAGATTGATATTTAAAATCAGGATATTTCAGTGATACGCCCTAAAAAAACAACCTGGACAATTTATCAGAAATGCCTCTTTCTGATCATGGAGCTCTTGTTCTGAACATATTTGGGCGGATGTTTCACTCTCAAACTAGCAGTGATCCACTCGTACCAGCACCACACACCATGTCAGTGTCACTGCTGTGCTGAGAATGGACCACTACCCACATAATAGCTGGACAACAGCAGCCCTGTGGTCAGAAACTGTGAGCTGATGAACTTTATAGATGGACTACAGTCAGTAGCTGAACACCTACATAGAGAAGGTGTAAGGTTGGTGTTTCTAATAAAGTGGACAGTTTAGTGGAAGCACAAGGGAGGTGTTTCTAATAAAGTGGCCAGTTAGTGGAAGCACAAGGTGGGTGTTTCTAATAAAGTGGCCAGTTAGTGGAAGCACAAGGTGGGTGTTTCTAATAAAGCGGCCAGTTAGTGGAAACACAAGGTAGGGTGTTTCTAATAAAGTGGCCAGTTAGTGGAAGCACAAGGTGGGTGTTTCTAATAAAGTGGCCAGTTAGTGGAAGCACAAGGTGGGTGTTTCTAATAAAGTGGCCAGTTAGTGGAAACACAAGGTTGGTGTTTCGAATAAAGTGGCCAGTTAGTGGAAACACGAGGTAGGTGTTTCTAATAAAGTGGCCAGTTAGTGGAAGTACAAGGTAGGTGTTTCTAATAAAGTGGCCAGTTAGTAGAAGCACAAGGTGGGTGTTTCTAATAAAGTGGCCAGTTAGTGGAAGCACAAGGTAGGTGTTTCTAATAAAGTGGCCAGTTAGTGGAAGCACAAGGTAGGTGTTTCTAATAAAGTGGCCAGTTAGTGGAAGCACAAGGTAGGTGTTTCTAATAAAGTGGCCAGTTAGTGGAAGCACAAGGTGGGTGTTTCTAATAAAGTGGCCAGTTAGTGGAAGCACAAGGTAGGTGTTTCTAATAAAGTGGCCAGTTAGTGGAAGCACACAAGTTTAAATTAGCCTCCAAACGTCCTTGTGTGTTTGTTTATGTTGGTTTGGAAATAAAGATTTTGAAATTGAGAGATTCACTCAAGCCCATTAGGACCTTAATAGACTCCCATAAACAGGAGGGATGAAAGGGAGGAAGAGAGAGGAGTGAATGAATAAATAAACGCAGGTTATTTGTCATATTTATTGCGGATCGTTAATGGAGGAGAAAGGCGTTCACACTTTGTGTCTGAGGAAAACAGCATCCACTGCTAACATGCATTTTAGCTCTGTTAGCTGGACGTTCCCGTGGGGTTTGTGTCTTGGCATGCAGAACAGCACACAGGGCTGTTAGAGACTCTTAATTAAAACCCAACACAAGCTGTAAACAGACCATGGCCAACAATAGCAGGACACACAGACAGACACTCTGAGAAAGATCCGATGGCCTTTTCATCCGTCGCCATTTCAAAAGAGCAGAAATTGTTTTTGAGACAGAGCTTTCCCAGATGTAGCCAGTCAGCCAAGACATGTTTGTGTCTGAGGTTTTAGCACTTTAGCTCTTTTAGAGCTTTGTGGCTAAGGCAGAAAACAAGCAGTGTTACTGAAAATGGTAATCCAGTACAAATTACTAATTACGTCTCTCAACCAAAAATCAGGTCACTTTACAGAGAGTCTCTGTGAAACATCCATACAAATCGGTTCCAACTGGAAAATAGAAGTGAAAACCCAGTACATCATTTAGAAGGAAATCATGGTAAACATCGCTTGGTAAATATTTACTGTAAGGCCAAGTCACTGGTGTTCAAGCCAAAGTCTGAGTCACTGGTGTTCAAGTCAAAGTCTGAGTCACTGGTGTTCAAGCCAAAGTCTGAGTCACTGGTGTTCAAGTCAAAGTCTGAGTCACTGGTGTTCAAGTTAAAGTCAGAGTCTTTGGTGTTCAAGTCAAAGTCAGAGTCATTGGTGTTCAAGTTAAAGTCTGAGTCATTGGTGTTCAAGTCAAAGTCTGAGTCACTGGTGTTCAAGTTAAAGTCTGAGTCACTGGTGTTCAAGTCAAAGTCTGAGTCACTGGTGTTCAAGTTAAAGTCTGAGTCACTGGTGTTCAAGTCAAAGTCTGAGTCATTGGTGTTCAAGTCAAAGTCTGAGTCACTGGTGTTCAAGTCAAAGTCTGAGTCATTGGTGTTCAAGTCAAAGTCTGAGTCACTGGTGTTCAAGTTAAAGTCTGAGTCACTGGTGTTCAAGTCAAAGTCTGAGTCACTGGTGTTCAAGTTAAAGTCTGAGTCATTGGTGTTCAAGTTAAAGTCTGAGTCACTGGTGTTCAAGTCAAAGTCTGAGTCACTGGTGTTCAAGTTAAAGTCTGAGTCACTGGTGTTCAAGTCAAAGTCTGAGTCACTGGTGTTCAAGTTAAAGTCAGAGTCACTGGTGTTCAAGTCAAAGTCTGAGTCACTGGTGTTCAAGTTAAAGTCAGAGTCTTTGGTGTTCAAGTCAAAGTCAGAGTCATTGGTGTTCAAGTTAAAGTCAGAGTCTTTGGTGTTCAAGTCAAAGTCAGAGTCATTGGTGTTTAAGTTAAGATCAAGTCATTGGTGTTCAAGTTAAAGTCAGAGTCATTGGTGTTCAAGTTAAAGTCTGAGTCATTGGTGCTCAAGCTAAAGTGAATTCATTGGTGTTCAAGATAAAGTCAGAGTTAGTTGGAGTCAAAGTCTGAGTCATCGGTGTTCAAGTCAAAGTCACTGGTGTTCAAATTAAAGTCTGAACCACTGGGTGTTCAAGATAAATTCTGAGTCACTGGTGTTCAAGTCAAAGTCCGAGTCACTGATGTTCAAGTCAAAGTCCAAGTCATTAGTGTTAAAGTGAAAATCTGAGTCATCGATGTTTAAGTCAAAGTCCAAGTCATTTGTGTTCCAAGTTAGAGTCAAGTCATTGGTGTTCTAGTCAAAGTAAAGTCATTGATGCTCAAGTTAAAGTCAAGTCATTGGTGTTCGAGTCAAAGTCTGAGTCACTGCTGTTCAAATCAAAGTCCAAGTCATTAGTGTTTAAGTTAAAATCCGAGTCACTGATGTTCGAGTCAAAGTCCAAGTCATTAGTGTTCAAGTTAAAATCCGAGTCACTGATGTTCGAGTCAAAGTCCAAGTCATTAGTGTTCATGTTAAAATCCGAGTCACTGCTGTTCGAGTCAAAGTCCAAGTCATTAGTGTTCAAGTTAAAATCCGAGTCACTGATGTTCGAGTCAAAATCCAAGTCATTAGTGTTCAAGTTAAAATCCGAGTCACTGATGTTCAAGTCAAAGTCCAAGTCATTAGTGTTCATGTTAAAATCCGAGTCACTGATGTTCAAGTCAAAGTCCTAGTCATTAGTGTTCAAGTTAAAATCCGAGTCACTGATGTTCAAGTCAAAGTCCAAGTCATTAGTGTTCAAGTTAAAATCCGAGTCACTGATGTTCAAGTCAAAGTCCAAGTCATTAGTGTTCATGTTAAAATCCGAGTCACTGCTGTTCAAGTCAAAGTCCAAGTCATTAGTGTTCAAGTTAAAATCCGAGTCACTGATGTTCAAGTCAAAGTCCAAGTCATTAGTGTTCTAGTTAAAATCCGAGTCACTGATGTTCAAGTCAAAGTCCAAGTCATTAGTGTTCAAGTTAAAATCCGAGTCACTGATGTTCAAATCAAAGTCCAAGTCATTAGTGTTCAAGTTAAAATCCGAGTCACTGATGTTCAAGTCAAAGTCCAAGTCATTAGTGTTCAAGTTAAAATCCGAGTCACTGCTGTTCAAGTCAAAGTCCAAGTCATTAGTGTTCAAGTTAAAATCCGAGTCACTGATGTTCAAATCAAAGTCCAAGTCATTAGTGTTCAAGTTAAAATCCGAGTCACTGATGTTCAAGTCAAAGTCCAAGTCATTAGTGTTCAAGTTAAAATCCGAGTCACTGATGTTCAAGTCAAAGTCCAAGTCATTAGTGTTCAAGTTAAAATCCGAGTCACTGATGTTCAAGTCAAAATCCAAGTCATTAGTGTTCAAGTTAAAATCCGAGTCACTGATGTTCAAGTCAAAATCCAAGTCATTAGTGTTCATGTTAAAATCCGAGTCACTGATGTTCAAGTCAAAGTCCAAGTCATTAGTGTTCAGTTAAAATCCGAGTCACTGATGTTCAAGTCAAAGTCCAAGTCATTAGTGTTCAAGTTAAAATCCGAGTCACTGATGTTCAAGTCAAAGTCCAAGTCATTAGTGTTCATGTTAAAATCCGAGTCACTGCTGTTCAAGTCAAAGTCCAAGTCATTAGTGTTCAAGTTAAAATCCGAGTCACTGCTGTTCAAGTCAAAGTCCAAGTCATTAGTGTTCTAGTTAAAATCCGAGTCACTGATGTTCAAGTCAAAGTCCAAGTCATTAGTGTTCAAGTTAAAATCCGAGTCACTGATGTTCAAGTCAAAGTCCAAGTCATTAGTGTTCAAGTTAAAATCCGAGTCACTGATGTTCAAGTCAAAGTCCAAGTCATTAGTGTTCATGTTAAAATCCGAGTCACTGATGTTCAAGTCAAAGTCCAAGTCATTAGTGTTCAAGTTAAAATCCGAGTCACTGCTGTTCAAGTCAAAGTCCAAGTCATTAGTGTTCATGTTAAAATCCGAGTCACTGCTGTTCAAGTCAAAGTCCAAGTCATTAGTGTTCAAGTTAAAATCCGAGTCACTGCTGTTCAAGTCAAAGTCCAAGTCATTAGTGTTCAAGTTAAAATCCGAGTCACTGATGTTCAAGTCAAAGTCCAAGTCATTAGTGTTCATGTTAAAGTCCGTGTCAGTGGTGATCAGGTCAAAGTCAGAGTCACTGGTGTTTCAATGTCCAGTTTTGGTGTCTACCAGCTCTTCCAGGTGGTTGTTGAGTCCCACTTTCTCTGTAGCTTTTAATCAGTTTTTGAACTCCAGTTTTTTCACCCATTCTTTCTCTAACTTTCTCCTTCCTTATGAAAGTGGATGATCTCATATCTCATGTTTATTCATGCTTCTGTGGTGAGTTTGTGTTTGGTACTAACGTGTTTGGCACAGTGTTCCTTGCCACCCTGGACCACAGTGGCAGGTGTTCGGTCCCACACACTCTCCTCCGTTCAGGCACTTCTGAAGGCACGTTGCTGGAATACAACACACACACACACACACACACACACACACACACACACACACACACATCATGCCCCTGATTCCATGAATCTTACTTGCAGTGGCAGTTTTTTATTAAGTTCAGTGGTGACTGTTATTATAATAACAACAATAATAATAATATAATAATAATAATAATAATAACAGTATTAAATCTTTATTTATGTGGCATTTTAGTTACAAAATCTCAAAGTGTTTTACACAAGAAGATATGAAAAACACTGGAGAGATAAAATACTATGGTTTAAATAAAAAAATACAATTACAAACATGAGAAAAGTTCTGATACAGTAAATCTCCTAAATGATTCAATCACATAAAGTCTATTTCTTAAATCATCCAATCAGACGCAGTCTTTCTCCTAAATCACCCAGTTGGACGCAATTTGTTTCCTATGTTATCGATTCGATACAGTCTATGTCCCACTTTATCACTTTAAACTGCCTGTGTCTCTAAGAATTAATGAGCCTTTTTTCGTTACTGGGCATTAAAGACTGAATATGTAAATAAGCTTTGTTCTGATTGGCTACATTCCCCCCCCAAATGTCACTTGACCTTCTGAAATCATTAAAGATTGACATTTTTTGCGAGATTTATACTCACGTTTGTCACACCGCCTCCCTCTCCAACCCGACACACAGTCACACACACCTGGGCCCACACACCTGCCGCCGTTCATACACATCGGCTCACACACACCTGCAGGAGGAGAGGCCGTCAGCGTCGCTCAGAACAGCGCCTGATTATTTTATTGTGCAAGTTTGTTCACATATCAAATTACTGTACTAATCGCAGTCAGGGGGAGGTCTCAGAATAATAGGTAAGTGGTTAGGACCAATCATAGTCAGGGGGAGGTCTCAGAAGAAACTACGAGGACCAATCACAGTCAAGGGAAGATCTCAAAATGAATTTATAGAGCATATAAATGCTGTATATACTCTCTTCAAAATAACACATATAGATGTATTATAAGTATAACTTATAACTCATAACAGAAAGATTCTTTATCAAGGGAGTTACTCACTCTTCTCGCAGTGTGTGCCGGAGTAACCTGCTGGACACGAACACACACCGTTACGCACACACACACCACCGTTCTTACAGGGCGGACTGCAGACAGCTAGAGAGAGAGAGAGAGAGAGAGAGAGAGAGAGAGAGAAAGAGAGAGAAAGAGGGAGAGGGAGAGAGAGAGAGAGAGAGAGAGATAGAGGGAGAGAGAGAGAGAGATTTTATGTGTTTTATGTTGATTTTTCATTTTCTGCTTTTCACGATTTTCCTTCCATCGTGCTCTTCAGTCACTGATAACACTACAATAACGCTAGCTAGCTAACAGCTAACTAATATCCTCGGGTTTCAGTCACGTGATTTTTCTGTTGTGGCCGCCATATTTGAGACCGAATTTCTGGCTTCGCTGCTCCACACGAAACTGGAGGTGAAAGATGGCTAAAATGACTCTCCTGACTCTGGAAGAGAAAAACGTTCCTCGACAAAGTCGTTAAAACAGTCTGAGATCCTTATACGGTTTCCCCTGAACTCCTGGTCCCACTAAACTGGAGGAAAGACACCAAATTAGTGTTTTCCTGATATATGTATCTCATACTCAGCCCCTCTCCCTAATCTGATCTTTTTCTCCATAAGTGACACAGATGTGTGTCTGTGTGTCAGTGTGAACAGAAAAACACACTGAATCTGACATTTTCAATTCTGATTTGAGACGCTTTCATATGTGGTACTGAAATCCGATCCGTATCCGATATGCAGCAACGCGGCTCAGTCTGAACGGCCAGATTGGAATTTATGCAATTTTTACATCAATCCAACTCAACATTCGTCATAATTTCGTGCTGCTAAGACTCAAACATCTGGGCTGATGTTTCTGCACAAAAAATTAGGAGGAATTTATCGCAACCGCTCCGTGTTTGAAGAGATTTCTAAAGAAATGTCCGAACGCGGCCGCAGGAGAACGAGGCTGCAGCGTCAAAGAACAGTTAAAAGTCTGAAAGCAGTTTAAAGAATCCGAGGACGCGACCCAAAGAAGTGACCGCGCCCTTTTTACGGCTCCAACACGTTCTGGGTGATGAGCCCAGCTGTCAGTCAGTGAAGCTTCATGATGGCTCCTGTGATGCTGGTGAAGATGAAGCTGATCCTCCGGGAGCGACTGGCGTTCGTTGGTGGTCGTGATTGTTTTGATGAGCCGCGTGAAGCTCTGTTCTTTTGCGCATGCGGGTCAGTTTAGGAGCTGATCTGTTCAGACTAGCTTTGCATATAGAGATACATTTAAAAGATAATGTGAACAGCCAAACAAAAAAAATCTGATTTGGTGAGAAAATCAGATTTGGGCCACTTTTACCTGCTGTGTGAACGCAGCCATAGAGCCCCAACATTTCACACAGTCCTAGTTCATCTGATATCAGAGTTACGGGGCAAAATATTCTGGTTGACAATATTAGTTAACAATATCTGAGCGGAATGTAGGAGAGTGGACAGAGAGAGAGGTTAGTGGTGTGTTTGTTTGTGTGTGTTACCATTCTGACATCGCGCCCCATAGAATCCGTGCTGGCAGGAGCAGGAGTTCGGCCGGATACACACACCTCCGTTCAGACACACAGGATCACACAGCGCTGCAAAGTTATGCACATATGTACAGTGTGAAGAGAATGTAGATGAGCTACGAATGAGACGCAACAAACTGCAACATGATTTTGTTATAACTGGAGATTATTGTGAATTTTCAGGGCAAATGCTTTATGTTAATGATTTATCTTAAGGCTTTAAGTGTGTTATGATAAATTATTCATATACTGCTTTAGGCTTTATGGGCAGGCAATAGAATACTTGGTTTGGTTGAGTAGAAGTAAAGTATATGTTTCAGGGACAATAAAGCTGTTGGGGCAGTAGAGTAGTTGTTTGGTGGGCAGTAGAGTAGTCCATTGAGGGACGGTAGAGTAATCGTTTGGGGGACGGTAGAGTAGTCGTTTGGGGGGGCAGTAGAGTAGTTGTTTGAGGGGCTGTAGAGTAGTTGTTTGGGGGACCGTAGAAGAGTTCTTTGGGGGGCAGTTGAGTAGTCGTTTGAAGGACGGTAGAGTAGTCATTTGAGGGCATTAGAGTAGTCGTTTGTGGGACAGTATAGTCGTCGTTTGGGGGCAGTAGAGTAGTCCATTGAGGGACGGTAGAGTAGTCGTTTGTGGGACAGTAGAGTAGTCGTTTGGGGGCAGTAGAGTAGTCGTTTGAGGGCAGTAGAGTAGTCGTTTGAGGGGCAGTAGAGTAGTTGATTGGGGGGGCAGTAGAGTAGTCAATTGAGGGCAGTAGAGTAGTCGTTTGAGGGGCAGTAGAGTAGTCGTTTGAGGAGCAGTAGAGTAGTCGTTTGAGGGCAGTAGAGTAGTCGTTTGAGGGGCAGTAGGGGAAGTAGAGAAGTCGTTTCAGGGAAAGCAGAGTAGTTGCTTAAGGGGCAGTAAAGTAGTTCTTTGAGGGGCAGTAGAGTAGTCATTTGAGGGGCAGTAGAGTAGTCATTTGAGGGGCAGTAGAGTAGTCGTTTGAGGGGCAGTAGAGTAGTCATTTGAGGGGCAGTAGAGTAGTCGTTTCAGGGGCAGTGGAGTAGTTGTTTGAGGGGCAATAGAGTAGTTGTTTGAGGGATGGTAGAGTCATTGTTTGAGGGATGGTAGAGTAGTTGTTTGCGGGGCAGTACTGTAGTTGTTTGAGAGGCAGTAGAGTAGTTGTTTGGGGGGGCAGTAGAGTAGTTGTTTCAGGGACAGTAGAATAGTTTTTTCAGAGGCAGCAGAGTAGTTGTTTGGGGGCCAATATAGTTGTTTGGGGGGCAGTAGAGTCGTTGTTTGAGGAACGGTAGAGTAGTTGTTTGGGGGGCAGTAGAGTAGTTGTTTGGGGGCAGTAGAGTAGTTGTTTGGGGAGGAGGTGTTGTAGCGAGGCAGGTACAGATTGGGCATTTTTCTGGTTGAAATACTGACCTCCTCTTTCAGGGTGTCAGCCAGCACAGAGGACAAACACACCCAACAGCTCTCAATTACACACTCACCAGTCTCACATGATGGTCCTGTCCAGCCTGGCTGACACTCACATTCATCAGGTGATACACACTTGCCTCCATTCTGACAATGACGGTTACAAACCACTGCAAACACCAACATCAAATGGTCACTAGGGGTGCAATGAGCTCATCTCTATCAAATACACATACTCTGAGTGGAAGATTTTCTTTGAAGGATATGCTTTGTTTGTCTGTAGCTTGCTGTAAGCATCATAAGCGTCGCTTGGGGCCATCGACCCATAAGAGCTCCTGCAAGTATACAGTTCTTATTAGGGGTTCAAGTGCCAAGTGTGCACCAACTCTATTGTTAAATTTTCCTTCTTCTTTTTCTCATGCAGACCAAATTGGTAGTCATACAGACATAAAACTTGGTGGACTGATTGTACTCCCTCCCACTAAGACAAGTGAGATGGGCCCTTTTTTCCTGAAAAGGGTACTTTGTTTTTTGCCCCAAAACTCATGCCCTTTAAGTCACAGAGGAAAAATTTGTTTTCCAATGGTTCCTTAAAAAGAACAATACTGTCATTTGGGCCATTTACCTCCACTTAGAGTTTGAGATCATTTGCGTTTTTGGCAAAATCACACTTTTGGCATGAACTTCTCTCTGTTTTTTTCACCCATCTTGCACAAATCTGGATGCAAACGAATCACAAGACTATTAACTTACTAATTAATAAAACTACTTTTTATGACATTCATTGTATGTCCACAATTGGCAACTGTTTGTAATCAACAGTTTTCAAACTAGTCATAGGATTTTCATCTCGTTTGCTCAAAATTTGTCTTGAAACACTGTGCAGACTGAAGGTAAATAATTATCAAAAAGTTATCAAAAAAAAATACAGCATGTCAATTAAAAAAAGATGATGATTGGACAACAATGATGGACAAATCTTTTTTAAAACTTACCTGTCTTAAACTAGTTTGATTATTACCAGACTTGGCACATTTGTAATATTTCAATATTTTCATATTTCTATTGGACTGACCTGTTGGGGGTGCTATACTAATCAATTCAATGACAATATCTCTAGCTCTGATTAAAACAGAAAAATAAAGATAATTATTAATTAAAATAAATGAAATATTAACTTTGTTTTCTTGCACTTTAAATAATATTATGGAGGTGGGTGTTGCTCATTTGTTTTAAAAACAATTTGAAAATCTAGGTGACTTTTGACTGGTACTCTATATGTGAATAATGTGCCATATTTGGACTCACTGGTTTCACATCTGGGTCCGACGAAGCCGTAGGGACAGGAGCAGGTGTCCCGGCCCACACAGGAACCACCATACAGACACGGGGAACTGCACAGAGCTACACACAGACACATGTTTTTAACACAATCTCAGGACATGAGGTCATGAGCATATGTACTGTATATATACACGTCCTATATGCATTATGTACATGTAAGCACCTGTATGTAATAATATTCTGTCCCATTATAAAAAAAATTATATTTAATGTGTATATATATATATGTAAAAATAAGCTGTATTACATTTTACAATTGTATTACATTTACATACGTACTTGCTTGTAATAAAAATATGTCCCATATGTATTGCATATACTTAAATACCTACATGTAATAGTACGTCCCATATGTATTATTTACATATAAGCACGTATATAATCATTTTTCCAATATGTGTATATATATGCAAGTACATATGAACTGAACTGAAAGTGTATGAAAAACCAACACTAACAAACACACACACAAATAAAACGCAGCCATGCATCACGCCCTGCGCCTCATAACTCTGAGCTCCTGGTGCATAATCGCCACACACAACACCGAGCGCTGGTGTGTGTGGCGTGTAACTCATCATCATCACAAAACGCATTAGCCGCAGCAGGCCTGCGCTGACCACCTATAATTCACAGCGCTTCGGGAAAAAAAATACACTGAACAAAACAATAAAGACAACAACGGAAAACATAAAACACAGTCATACATCAAACCTGCCTCCAGTTTCAGAGACTATTACAGAGACTGGTCAGCAAACTAGCTACATACAAAAAAATGGTAGTTATATACTGGCCACTTTATCAGAAACTCCTGTTTGTCATCCTCTAGTCCTTCATCAGTGGTCAGTTTCCAACCACAGAGATGTTCTTGGCTGGACAATCACTCCCACCAGCAGGGTGTAAGGACAATGTAGGTGTTTCTCTCATGTGTAGGTGTAAGTGGTCAGTGACTGGAAGTAAAAGGTAGGTGTTTCAAATAAAGTAGCCACTGAGCGGAAGCACAAGGTGGGTGTTTCTAATAAAGTGGCTGGTTAGAGGAAGTAAAAGGTAGGTGTTTCTAATATAGTGGCCAGTTAGAGGAAGTAAAAGGTAGGTGTTTCTAATAAAGTGGCCACTGAAAGCAAGCACAAAGAAGCCATTTCCAATAAAGTGACCACTGAGAGGAAGCACAAGGTAGGTGTTTCCAGTAAAGTGTCCAGTTAGTGGAAGTAAAAGGTAGGTGTTTCTAATAAAGTGGCCTCTGAGGGTATATCAGAGAAATTGTTTATTACCTCTCTCACATGCTTCTCCGTGATATCCCTCTCTGCACTCACACACTCCAGGAGCGACACACTCTCCTCCGTTCTGGCACGCTGGGCTGCAGATGGCTGTGAGAGTCACACAGTAAGTGCTGAGTCTGGATGTGTGTGTACGTGTGTCTTGCTGTAGATCTCAGTAAGGCTTGTGTATATGGACATCAGACACATACGCAGTTTGACAGGAGAGGTCAGCGTATCCTTGCTGGACATCAGATGTGTGTTTGTGTGTTTACCTGTTTGGCAGTCCAGGCCGGTGTATCCTTGTTTACAGCGGCAGGTGTTTGGTGCTGCACACTCCATGTTCCTGGCGCATGGGTGCCTGCATACAGCTAACACACACACACACACACACACACAACACAAACACACAAACACACAGTACAGAGGCCAACGTCAACACCACTTAAACGGGGAACCATGTTCTCTTTCAGAGAGTTTCACAGGGCAACGCTGAGTCAACACATAGTATATTTTGCTCTTCACTGTGCAGGAAGGTTAAATTTCCACCACAGTATATTTTACATGTAGCATATTAACTATAATATAGGTACACACACTGGCCAATTTATTAGAAACACCTACCTTGTACTTCCACTAACTGACCACTTTATTAGAAACACCTACCTTGTACTTTCACTAACTGGCCACTTTATTAGAAACACCTACCTTGTACTTCCACTAACTGGCCACTTTATTAGAAACACCTACCTTGTACCTCCACTAATTGGCCACTTCATTAGAAACACTTACCTTCTACTTCCACTAACTGACCACTTTATTAGAAACACCTACCTTGTACTTTCACTTACTGACCACTTTATTAGAAACACCTACCTTGTACTTCCACTAACTGGCCACTTTATTAGAAACACCTACCTTGTACTTCCACTAACTGACCACTTTATTAGAAACACCTACCTTCTACTTCCACTAACTGACCACTTTATTAGAAACACCTACCTGTACAAAAACATATGAGCTACAAACTCTAACTGAACATCAGCAAGGTGGCAAGGGTTTCCGATAAAGTGGCCAGGGAGTGTTCTTAGATAATAGTGTGTCAAACAGTGTCAGAAACCACAAATGTCTATTTGAGAAAGTCTGCAAATTAACAAATCCACACGCTAAGATGCTAACTGGTGGACTTCCATTATTTGTTAGCCATTAGTGAGCCTGAAAAACAAAAGCAGCAAGAGACGCCGAATGTGGGGCTACATTTGGGATAAGGGGGGGTGGCAGAACTGGTTTGTTTACCTCTGCATGATCTCCCATCTCCAATGTAGCCCAGTGGACAGCGGCCGCACCTGAGAGACCCCTCCCCCACACACTGCACACCTGGGAAGCAGGTGAAATCACCACAGGTGACCCTCCTGTCCTTCACCTGTGCAGGTACAGGGTTCCGGCTGTGCTGGACGCTGGAGTGGACGCCCAGATCCGCAGGACGAGTCTGCCTGCCCACAGTGGTGAAGGCTGCCTGCAGGAGAGTTCAGAGACAGGACAGCTTACATTCGAGTGGTTCTGTTCCAAAACCCACCTGCTTGTATCTCCACTCACTGTCCACTGTATCAGCTTCACTGACCATATAGATTCACTCTGTAGTTCTACAGTTACAGACTGTAGTCCATCTGTTTCTCTGCATACTCTGTCACCCAAGCTATGTGTCATAGCCTAAGCTCCGCCCCCACTGCCCAAAAGAGACCAGCCAAACGGTTCTACAGCTTATTTACTGCACTGAAATCATTAAACCTTAATATTAGTATTAATAATTTATTTTTAGTGAACAAATATTCAAATTTAAAAATTCTAAATTGTTTATTGTATTATTTGACATTTTATAAGCCATTATTTATTTAAATAATAATTCTATTTTGTTTTTTTATTTATGAATTTTAATTGTTTGTTTTCAACATTACGATATCTTGATTGTTTTTTTTACTCATACATTTTTATTGTTACTTTATTACATTTAGGATTATATATTAGTATTATTTATTCATTTTTAATTTCATAAAGTTCTGTTTCTTCTCTTTTGCTGCCTTTTATTTCCGTATAAAGAGTTTTGAGCTGCGTTTTAATGTATAAAATTCTAAATAAAGACCTTTATTATTATTGATATTATTAATATTGCTGCTATTATTATTATTATTATTATTATTTCACCTCTACTTGCCTGGTTCAGTAGTTGGGGGTCCCCCGGCTCCAGACGGACCCCCAAATCTCCATCTGCAGAAAACTCCGGCTCAGAGAGGGCAAATGTCACGGCGGTCAGCGCAGCGGTCAGCGGCCTCGAGCGGGCGATGGTGACCGGGCTCGGTTGCCGTGGCATCCGCTCTAGAGGCAGCGTCACCTTCGGGGTCACTTTGGGCGTAACACCAACAAATCCGCCCTTGAGGACCCTGACGGACGCGCCGGAGGGGGAGGGGGGGCTCCGGCTGACTGGCATGTGCCGTAATCGGAGCGTCGCTGCGTCTCTCTGCACTGTGATTGGTGCAGAGGTCGGGGGGAGGGGCCTGGTCTCGGGAACCTGATTGGCTGCTGTCCGGGCAGGGGCAGATGGAAGTTGGTGAACCTGCAGGTGAAGGTGGGGAGATTTGGGAGAGTCTCCGAGGCGGCCGGCGCTGCTGGGGCTCAGAGGAGGAACTGGAGAGTTGAAATAAAACACTGAATATTAAATATTAAACAATAAATATTAAGTTTAAAGAATTCAAATAAAGTTTGCATCTGTAGTCTGAAGCTAAGAAGCCAATGTAAAAAAAATCACCCAGATGCCTCAAACTGTCTCGAGTTATTAGAGCAAAATCAAATTTACACAATTGTCCACTCGTCGATCAGCCAGGAGGCATCTGGTGTCCGGATTTCTCTTCCTTAGTTTAGAACTGGAGTTTACATACAGTCTAAAGCCGCTAAAGTAGCTAAACTACATTCTGTCCTTTTTATATTTGTATGTATTGTATTTATTGTATTTATACACAGCGTCTACGAGAGAGAGAGAGTTTATCATTATTTTCTTTTTCTTCCTTTTTGCTCTTTTTTGTTTTTTTCTTTCTCTTTTTCTCTTTTTACACCTCATGTTTGTTGACTTTTTTCTCATTACATATTCTGTCTTTCTCCCTTTCCCTTTATCATAGTCCTTTTTTCTTTAAGTGCTTGTTTGTTTCTTTCTTGTTTTCTTTTTCTTCGTCCTGCTAACTTCTCTCTCTTTCTGTACAGGGTTATTAAAGTGAACTAAACCTATCACTAAACCTAAACAGAGCAGTGAAAAAAGTGCTTGTGAACTGTAATAAAAATAAAAATAACTGATGTGTGGACTGTAATTGTAAGGTCCACTGCAAAACTACCTAAAGCTAAACAGAATTACCAAGAAAAATCTGGTGAGTGTCGAGCTGAGCTCAGTCTACTGTGTTACTTTTATTCCACTCTTACTAAATACCTGCTATCCCAGCATCATAATACTAAAAACTAGATAAAACTATATATATATATATATATATATATATATAATGACCCTGTTTCTGGGATAATCCCTCCACCGAGTCACTTAGCCTTTATGTCCAGCAGTATTGACACACACTGACACACAGTGAACGCCGTACTTGCGTGATTCGGGCGTTTAGTGCAGGTGCGTCCGTTGCCATGGTAACCTGGAGGACAGCGTCCGCAGACGAAGCCGACGTACGGCGGGCGCAGGTCGATGCACTGGACGCCCATAAAACACGGCCTGGACGCACACCTGGACGTCACGTTCCTCAGATCAGACACACCTGCAGAACCATAGAAAACACACAGCACTCGATTATGTGGTTTCTGACACCGTATGACTCACTGTTATCTATAAACCTACAGATATTATCTATACATACTAATAATGTTCCATGTATGTATGTGTACGGAAGCATCTATATGTAATATGAAGATGATCCATATGTATGTATTTGTATGCAGTAATAATACTTTGCTGTATCTATGTAAGTGCCTGTATATATTGTTATTACTAATAATAATAATAACTGGAATAGTTCATTTCCTGAAGAAAATGCAGAGCGATTGTGCAGCTTAAGCAATTTGAGAACGGTTGCTAAGGAGTTCCCAGGCGGTTGCTATGGTATTTTGTATGGTTGCTAGTGTGTTGATAGGTAGATGCTGTGGAATTCCAGGTGGTTGCTAAGGTGTTGCTAGGTGGTTGTTATGGTGTCCAATGTGGTTCCCAAGGTGTTGCTAGGTGGTTGCTAAGGTATCACAGGTGGTTCCTTAGATGTTGTTAGCCAGATCCTTTGACATCCCAGGCAGTTTCCAAAGTGTTGCAATGCAGTTGATATGATATCCCAGGTGGCTGCTATGGTGTGGCTAGGCAGTTGGCATGGTATACCAGGTGGTTGCTAGTTGGTTGCTATGGTATCATATGTGGTTGCTAAGGAGTTCCTAGATGGTTGCTATAGTATCTGTGGTGGTTGCTAGGGTGTTGCTAGGTGGTTGCTATAATATCCCAGGTGATTGCTAGGGTGTTGCTAGGACGTTGCTATGGTATCCAAGGTGGTTGCGAAGGTGTTGCTAGGTGGTTGCTATGGTATCACAGGTGGTTGCCTAGGTGTTGTTATCCAGATCCTATGATTTCCCAGGCAGTTGCGAAGGTGCTGCAATGCAGTTGCAAAGGTATCCCAGGTGGCCGCTATGGTGTTGCTAGGCGGTTGGCATCGTATCCCAGGTGGTAGCTAAGGTATCACATGTGGTTGCTAAGGAGTTCCTTGGTGGTTGCAATCGTATCACAGGTGGTTGCGAATGTGTTGCTAGGTGGTTGCTATGGTGCGAGTGGATCAGACACAGCAGTGCTGCTGGAGTTTTTAAACACCTCAGTGTTACTGCTGGACTGAGAATAGTCCACCAACCAAAAATATCCAGCCAGCAGCATCCTATGGGCAGCGTCCTGTGACCACTGATGAAGGACTAGAGGATGACCAACACAAACTGCGCAGCAGCAGATGAGCTATCGTCTCTGACTTTACATCTACAAGGTGGACTGACAAGGTAGGAGTGTCTAATAGAGTGGACAGTGAGTGGACACAGTGTTTAAAAACTCCAGCAGCACTGCTGTGTCTGATCCACTCAGACCAGCACAACACACACTAACACATCACCACCACGTCGGTGCTACTGCAGTGCTGAGAATGATCCACCACCCAAATAGAACCTGCTCTGTGAGGGTCCTGTGGGGGTCCTGACCACTGAAGAACAGCGTAACAAAGTATGCAGAGAAACAGATGGACTACAGTCTGTAACTGTAGAACTACAGAGTGAAACTATATGGTCAGTGGAGCTGATAAAGTGGATCTGCTCAAAATAAATGAATGTCCAGTACTGAGGGGGTGTGGGCTGACCAGTCTGGAGACCCACAGACACCATAAGGTATATTAACTGATCAGGTCTGTGAGTTGGGCAGAGCTGAATGAGCCTCAGTGTGTTTTAATCTGGCCCTTGTTAACGAGCGCTGATGTTCTAATTGGCTGACAGTGAGTGCTGAGCCTCCAGCTCTGTTCTGGAAGTGACTGTGTAATTAGCAGCTTCCTCTGGAAGTTCAGGCCAATCTGCCCCGAGTGCGTCACACCCTCACCGTCAGTGCCGACCCCCACCGTCTGCCACACCAGCCGTGTTAAAGCGATAGTTCAGAGGGACACAGAGAACTCACTACACAGCACTTTACAGCATTAACTCACTGAAGTAATGAAAACCTTTCATTCTCATAAACTTTACCTCGATATTTCCATCAAATATCAAAAATTATTACTTCAAAGTGCTTTAAAGTGAAAGTTCGACAAAGTTAAAGACATTATTTTGAAACACTTGAAAGGGACAGTTCAGCAAAACTGAAAAATTAATCTGAAGCTCTTTAAAGTGATATTTAAGCGAAGTATCAGAAGTTATTATTATAAAGCACTTTAAAGTGTTAATTCAGTGAAATACTAAAAACTATTCTGAAACAACTTTAAAGCGATAGTTCGGTTATTACATATGTTATTACATAGCATTTTAAAGAGTTTTAAGAATTATTAAAAATCTATGCTGAAACATTTTAAAGTGATAGTTCAGCCAAATATCAAAAAATGTATTTCAAAGCGAAATGTAAAGAAAATTGCTATTATAAAGTGTTTACAGTGATAGTTCAGCAAAACGTCTGAAAAAAAATATATTTTGAAGCTCTTTAAAGTGATTGTCTGGCAAAATATCAAGAAAAATGTTATTATAAAGTGATTTAAAGCGATAATTTGGAAAAAAATATCAAGAATATCGTTTTCTAATGTAATTTAAAGTGACAGTTCAGCCGAATTTGAAGAAAATTGTCATTCTGAAGTGCTTTAAAGTGATAGTTTGGCAAAATATGAAGACAAATTTTAAGAAATTATTTTGCTGTGCTTTAAAGCGACAGTTCAGAGAAAACTGTGTGAGTGATGTGTTTTCTTAGAGGCTCCACAGTTTCTCCTCCTTCACCTTCACGCTGACCTCTAATACCCACAATGCTGCTGGCTCAGACCCCACTCAGCCCCCCACCACACACACATACGCACACAGGCCGGTGAGAAATGATCAATATCGGCCTATTAGTCAAAAACGATCAGTCTGAAGTCAGAGAGATGATCCATCACAGCAGACTGAGCTGTTTCCCCATCTCACCGTGAGCGGCTGCGCAGTTCCTCACTTATATAGAACTTATCTGTCTATTAATAAATCATAATTATAGATTATGATTTATTTCTGATGCTGCATTAATGCACTTCACTCCATAAGCTCACACACTGTACACACTCTGCCTTAAAGCGATAGTTCAGTCAAAAATACACACTTACATTATTTCCCAAGTGGAGTCGATCAGCCGAGTCGTGATTGGCTGAAGTTTGCTTCCTTAGTTTTAGCACTGGAGGTACGAGGCTAATGCAGCTAACGAGTAATGGACGTTTACCCCACCAATTAGCATGGTGCTAACTGCATCATCATCCTAAAGCATCAAACGCACCTCACACCGTGACAAGCTGTTAAGTGACCTCTAATAGACTTCATTATGCTCCATGCTAATTGGTGGGGTATAAGTTTCCATTACCTGTTAGCTACATTAGCCTCGTAGCTCAAGTGCCAAAACTAAAGAAGGGCACTTCAGACACCAAACAAGCCTTATGGTCATTTGGAGTAAAGGGGGGTGGGTGGTAGTGGTAGTGGGGGGGTCTGGCTGGTGTGAAGCTGAAAGTTTATCTGAGAGCAGAAACAGATTTTTATATTCATAATCGATTTACAGCCACAACAGACAGAACCTTCAGTCCTGTTAGTGAGGTCAGCACTCAGCATACAGTGGGGGGGTTTACAGACCACCCAGAGAGAGAGAGAGAGAGAGAGAGAGAGAGAGAGGTGGAGAGAGAGAGAGAGAGAGACAGGTGGAGAGAGAGAGAGAGAGAGACAGGTGGAGAGAGAGAAGTGATGAGGGGGAACAAGAGAAAGGGAGAGTGAGAGAGACAGAGAAAGAAGGAGGATAGAGAGAGATGGAGAGAATAAAAGAAATACAAAGAGATGAGAGAGAGAGAGAGAGAGAGGAAAGAGAGACAGAGAGAGAGAGAGAGAGACAGGTGGAGAGAGAGAAGTGATGAAGAGGGAACAAGAGAAAGGGAGAGTGAGAGAGACAGAGAAAGAAGGAGGGTAGAGAGAGATGGAGAGAATAAAAGAAATACAAAGAGAGATGAGAGAGAGCGAGAGAGAGAGAGAGAGAGAGAGAGAGAAGGAGGACAGTATAGGAGAGAGTATAAAAGGTGAGAATAAAAGGAGAGAGAGAAAAAGAAAATGAAGGATGAGAGAGAGACAAAAAGATAAAATGAAAAGAGAGAGAGAAAAAATGAGGAAGAAAGAGAGAAAGAAATCAAAAAGAAAGACAGGAAAGAAAGAAAAAATGAAGGAATACAGAGAGAGAGAGAGAGAAGAAGGGTAGAGAGAGATGTAGAGAATAAAAGACATGGAAAGAGAGAGAGAGAACATACGAGAGAGGGAGAGAGTGAGAAGGAAGGAGGAGAGAGAGTTGGAGAGAATAAAAGGAGAACGAGAGAGAGAGAGAGAGAGAGATGGAGAGAGTGAAAGAAGAAAAAGCGAGACAGAAAAAGCAAGAGCAAGAGAGATAGACAGAGAGAAAGTCAACAGTGAGGGAATAGAGAGAGAATGAGGGATGAGAGAGAAACAAGAAAGTTAGAATGACGAAAAAGAGAAAGAGGGTGAAGAATGAGAGAAAGAAAGAAAGAAAAAAGAAAGAAACAGAGAGAGAGAAGAAAAAGTGAGCCAGAAAAAGGAAGAGGAAGATAGAATGTAACGAGAGAGGTAAACAGTGAGGGAGCAGAGAGA